CTATGCGGGCGTGGACTCGCTCGGCTTCGGGCGACTGAGCTCGATCGACTTCCTCACGGCGCACCTGTACCCGTCGTCGTGGAGCAAGAGCGTCCAGTGGGCCGACGGCTGGATCCAGACCCACAGTCAGTGGGCGCACCAGGTCGGCAAGCCCGTCGTCATGGAGGAGTTCGGCATCACCTACGGTACACATCCCGCTTTTACTTGATATCTGAAGTAGTTGTTTTTTTTCAATTTACTTTCTTTTTGCTTTATTTGATTGGTTATTTTTATACAGACAAAGATGTTTTATTTACATACCATACACTTTCCTCTATTCCATAAATGTTTGTGCAGACCAGGTGAATATTTACACGCAGTGGACCAACGCGATGTACAATGCGAGGTACAACGGGTGGAGCTTCTGGATGCTGGTGACGGACAACTACCCCAACTACGACGGGTTCGCCATCAGCTGCGGCTCCGACGCGTGCCGCCTGCTCGCTCGGCAGGCCCAACGCCTCTCCGCCCTCCCCTGATCACCAGTTTCTTGTCACCACCCTTCTTTGTTTTTGCCACGGACACAAAGTGTCGCTTGTGGTGTGCACCAAACAACCGAGCCCCGCGAGGTTTACTGCGCGGGAGCCTCCTCCTCTCGCAGCAGGGGAGGGAGCATCGCGGCTTCAAGGACAGCCCGGTCGGCATCGGTGAACGCCGTCGGCCATGCGCGGAGGAACTGCAGGACGTCCATCACGGCGGCGAGGCCACCTTCTCTGACCGTTGCAAGGAAGTCATCGCGCGCTTGTTGCGCCGTCTTCTTCACCCTGCGCTCACAGTCGTGGCACGTTCGGCCGCGTTTTTCCTTGACGCAAACACCAGTGCCGTGCGGTTCGAAGGTGATGCGCAGACCTTGGTCGGGGCGGATGCGAAAGCCGCCCTGCACGGCAAACTCGGGGTGCGTCCAGCGTTCCGGTTGGTAGTGGATGTCGTACGGCCACCTGTACCGCAGGTCCAAAGCACCATCACGACACAGCGCACCGCTGATCAGTCGCGATTGTCACATCGACGCACTCTGGGCATAGATCGTAGGGGAGAGAGTACATGAGCGTGTCACTTCTGCACTTTTCGACGCGCTGGAATGATTGGATGGATTGTCAGCATCAGCGTACGAGATGGCCACCCTAAAGGGTGAGAGAACAATCCACGTACCGAGAGAAGCGTCAGTCTCTGATTTCCTATTATGGCCCAGTCGTTGCCCTGCCTGTAGACCGCCACGGGGCCGCCTGTTGGGTCCAGCAGCACAGTCTGGGAGAGCTCTCGCGTGTATTGCCGCTCGCCCAGCTGCCACAAGCTCGGTTCCGGCGTTCCGGAGAACAGAGTGGAGAGTGGGAAGCTGAGGACCACGCAGCCGTAGCGGTTGTCTCGCAGGGCGGCACGTTCATATCTTAGTCCGTCGTTGTCAGAAGCGTCGCGAAAGGCCCGAATGGCTGGAACCGAGGTGGGGTCGATGCCGAACCATGCCAGTTCGACTTCCGTGTATTGGTCGGCGGAAGCATGTGCCTTAAACTCGAGGAACTCGCTGGAGACTGCATCGTGTATCATTGCCAGCAGCGACGTGTTGGTAGTTGCATGCCGCACGACTGTCTGTTGCAGCGACAGCTCGACTCGCCCCAAATTGACCGAGGACGCCGACCCAGACACTGGTTGGTCGAGATGCAGCGTCACCTTGCGATTTCCTCTCCAGTGAATCAGGCCGAGCCACTCCTTCGGGTCCTTGACTAGCCTGAGCACACGCCTATTGCGGTCGTTGACGAGGGTGAGGAGGCCGTCCATTACCCTTCGGCGATCGTGCAGCGGAGGGAGCATGTCGGGGCCGAGCAAGCGAGTTGCATCCCCCGAGAATCGGAGACGGAGAACGTTTTCGAGTCTTAGGGCCCACCTCTGCAGTCTTACTTCGCCCACACGCTCGTCCTCGCCCCAGTCCTATTCACAGTGTTCCGCAAATGAGTATTCACCACAAGTACGCATCGAGTTCTAAATACCTTGAGTGTAAGTTCCCCGGCCAGCGCTTTCCGGTAGTGCTTCGGCTCCTGAAGGTCTCCCATCGCACTGTCCCCATTTTTGGACTAGCACCCAAAAAACTGTGAGCATGGCTTCGATGACAGCGAAACTGAAGGCAAAGGGAGCGGACCAAAAGTGCGGCACGGAAGACAGCGGCCAGTCCCGTGCCATCATCCCACAGCTGCTGGTCCTTCCACTCCTCCAGGCGAATAATCCCATCACCACGCAGAACAGCGTGCGCCAACGCCACCAAAACGGTCTTGCGTTGGTCGGAACACATGTTCGGTAGCTTCGCTTGCAGCTCCTCGAGGGCCATTTTTCTCTTTTCTTCATGCCCAGAGGAGATCTCTCCCACCTGCTTCATGAGCGCTAAAAGCAGTAATTTAGTTGGTGGTAAGAGCACGTTCACACTAGCCACGCTGTGCTTGTACCAGCTTCTTCCTTGGCCTCTATGAAATCGTCGGAGCTGAGCTGGCGCCTCTTGCTCCCCGGCGGGTCATGGTCGGTGGTGTCCCCCTTGAGGATGGGTCCATCAGGTTCCTTGCGCTTGGTCGTTTCTTGCGCCTTCTTGAAGTCAGCCGAATCATTGTCCTGGGACGCTTCCTTTTGCTGCGCCTTTTCCATGGGTTGAATGTTGGTTTGGCTGTGAGCCCAGTTTATTTGTTTTCCAGGTATCGGTAACACAGATAAAGCTAATTAATTGGGCCCCCACCAAAATGAGACAACCCTTTCCGGGCTCGTCCTGGTATTCGCCGAGGACAATTTTAGGGCATGTTGACATCCGAAGATGTTGTGTTACTTTCTTGAGCTAATGTTCACAAGGTTAAGGCCCCGTTCTACTGTTTTGCCGGTTGGCGGTAACTACGGGAAGATGTCGACAATAACCGCGCAAATTCTGGACAAAAACCGGCAAACTGTGGAATCCCAATTACTCGTAAGCTACGAGTAATTGGAATTCCGTAATCATCCCCTTTTTTCCAGGCACCAAAAAGGTGGAGGAAAAACAATTTCTCCCTTCCGGTCTGGACAATGCAGCTCGCCAAGAAGAAGAAGAAGGGCCATCAGTCAAGCCCCTAAGGTTGTGTAGCTGCGGCCAAACTCTCAAAAATAAGTTCAAACATTTTAGGCATCAAATCTGCCTTTTTTCAGCACCAAATTCGCCACCCACCATGTCTTCTTTACCACCTGCCATGTCATCTTTCTTCACCACCCACCATGTCATCTTCCTTGCCAGTTCCATCATCTTCTTCACCACCCACTGTGTTGCTTTCTTCACCGCCCGCCATGTTGTCTTCCTCATCACCTGCCATGTTGTCTTCCTTGCCAGTTCCATTGTCTTCTTCACTGCTCACTGTGTTGTCTTCTTTGCTGCCTGTTGTTTTGTCTTCTTCACCACCCACCATATCATCTTCTTCACCACCCATGCCATCATCTTCCTGCTCACCCACTCTGCCCTTCCTTCTGCCATGTGGTGTACTAGACAGTCCTGAGGTGTTCAATATACACTATCCATCAACACATGAAGCATCAGCAGATACCTTCTCCCCACAACCAGTGTACACCTTCACCACTGCAGCAGCACGCCCAACCACCCTCACATCACACCTATCAACATGGGCACATGAGGTCCTTGTGTCATCACTGACACTGTGGCTGATCATCAACACCAACCAGTGGCTCTCTGTCATTGAGAAGCAGCCATGCAGCTGCACCAACTGCACAGGGACACAGAAGGTGCTCACAGGTGAGTGGAAGGGCGAGGTGGTCACCATCACCACACAGTGCATGACATGCTGTCAGCCACAGAAGATCAGCAATGTTGCTGGGTGGGTGGTGGGTGAGGGCAAAGGAGGGAAGCACAGACCTCTCATCACCCTCAAGTCAGTAGCGGCAGCTGCAATTAATGGTGTTGGCCATGAAGTCTACATGCAGTGACATGTGGACATGGGCCTCCCCTACCTTACCGCAGCAGCTCATAGGGAAATAGAGAAGGTGGTCTGGGAGGAAGGCATCAGGAGAGCAAAGGCAGAGCAACAGAAGCTGATGGTGGACTGGTACCAGAGTGGAGAGTGGCAGCTTCAGAATCTCAGTGTTAATGGCTCCTGGAACACTAGGCACAAGTCCAGCATGGGCACCTTCACTGCAGTGGATGTTGAGCGCAGCAAGATTGTGCATGAGGAGACAATGCTCAAGGAGTGCATGCAGCAGATCAATGGGAAGGAGGTGGTCATCACAAAGGGTAACTACCTGGGCACATTGCAGGGCATGGAGTGCAAGGGATTCTGCCACCAGATCAACTGGCTGCAGGAGAGGGGGCTGCTGAAGAACATTGAGTGTATTGCCCATGACAACAATGCCTCCATTGAGAAGATCATGGCAAGCAACACATGGCTTGCACACATCAAGGTGCACACCATTCTCTCCTGTGTGATCATTAGCCATGCACACACAAACATGCACAACACTCATGTGTACCTGCACTCACAGAGCTGCCTCAACCAGGCCACCTCAAGAAGAACTATGAAGCAAAGATCAAGGTGGCCCAGGGTGACACTGTGGCGCTGCAGGGTGCATCCAAGAGGTTTGGCCGCCTGCAGGCCTATGGTGACACAAACTGGGAGTGAGAGTCAACATACCATGCCAAGGTCATCCATCATGTGCTCTGTGCCAAGGCCCATTACTTCAACCCAACATGTGATGCTGGGTGCCCCTGTTACCGCCATGTCAACATCATCAGGATCAGCAGCATCAACAACAACTCAGTGCTGGTGCAGCAGCCAGACAAGGTGCTACTGCACATCATGGCGTACCTTGACCACAAGTTGTTCTTCTGCCTTGCCTCAATCTGTAAGCGCCTCTACACCATGTCATCTGACCACTCATGTGCCCACTGGTTCCTCTGTGTGTGCACAAGGAAGCACCATTACAAGGTCAGTGACTCAGCATGCACAGATCTGAAGCCAAAGTTTGAGATGGTGCACAAGATCCTTGACCAGTTCACTGCCATTGTGCCTCAGACCACACGCCACCAACACACCTGCTACAATGAGTCAACCAACAACCTGTGCATGAAGGAGAAGCCCAAGCACAAGACGCACCCCTCCACTGGTGTTGACTGTGCCAATGTGTCCTGGCTCAAGTGGAATCACAGCATGGGCAAGGTGAAGGAGCTCATCATCACTGCCCTTGGCCTCACAGGCAATACCCTGCAGCAACACTCCTGGACCTGCCTGGACCACCACTGCCAGCATGATTGAGAGCATCAGTCATCATGCCACTTCAAGTGCACAGCCATCAAACATGGCAAACGCCACCACCAGTGTCATGCTGAAGAGATACAAGCATCTGCCAGGCTGGGAGATGAGTACCTAGATTGCCTCAACAAGACCAAGTTCAATGTGCCTAGCACAGAACCAGCCACAGCACCTCCTACACAGACCAAGGTGAGTCTCCCCTGTTCACCTTCCCCCATTGTGGTGGTACTTAACTGACCTGCTGGCCATGGTCACCACCATCCACAGAGTGTGAAAGAAACTTGTGGCTCTTCCTGCTAATGAAGACAACAACACACCCCTCACCTCCAACAAGATTAGTAACATGAAGAGCACTCAGGTCAACAAGGAGCTAAAGAAGCAGCACCTTGTCCTCATGTACAAGGGTCAAGGTAAGCTGGAAGAGAAATGAGCATGCCTCATCCAATTTGTTACAGACCCTGATGCCCACCAGATGTACCTGAAGTGCAATGGTGGTCAACCAAAGAAAAAGGCCCATGTTGAAGTGTGTAGTCCTCCTCTCTATCATTTTGATTGGCCAACATGACTAACAAACTGTGATGGGGCAGGGTGAGAGTGACAACAGAGCAAACAAGAAAGCAAGAGGAGTAAGACTCAGTGTACCTGATGAGCCTCTCATTGATGGCCTTGAAGCCCTCTCCTTGACAGTGCACTGATGGGTCACTGGCCATGTCATCTTCTTCATTGCTGGTCTCATTGCCTTCTTCATCACCAGCCATATCGCCTTCTTCATTGCCTGCTGAGTCATCTCCTTCATTGCTGGCCACATAGTCTCCTTCATTGCAGGCCATGTTGTCTCCTTTGTTGCCTGTCTCATTGTCTTCTTTGTCACCAGGCATGTCACCTTCTTCATCACCAGCCTTCTGTCACCTTCTTTGTCACCAGCCATGTTGTCTCCTTTGTCACCCACTCAGCAGCTTCTTTGTTGCCTGCTGTGTCACCACTGGCTGTGTCGTCTCCTTTGTTGCCTGCTGCATCATCTTCTTCATCACCCACCACATCATCTTCTTCATTGCCCACCACAACATCTCCTTCATTGCCCACTCCACTTCACCACCTGCAACCCCATCATCTTCTTCGCCAGCTGCCCCCGTCACCATGTCAATTAATGAGATAATGCACATTTTCTCACTGACTTTCTCTCACCAAATAATTGCCCAAATGTATTTCGCAAATGCAAAACGAAATCTTCGCGGCGGACCAATCGGGTAAACGGTAGAACGGGGGGCCGTCCTGGTATTCGCCAAGAACTGTGCACAACGCGGAAATTTAAAACGTAATTTTTTGCGTTGCGGAAAAATTAGGGCGCAAACGCCCGGCAAAATCCTGGCAAACACAAGAAGTACAGAAAGCACACAGTGTCCACAACAAGCTTAAGCTGTTGTCCAAGTTTGCCACAGTTCTGCAACTTGATGAACAGCAGGAAACCCCATCCTACAGCCAGCACCTGGCTCAGAGGATTGCCAGAATCACTAAGCAATATCTCAGTGAGGATGCTGATTTTCCTGTGCCACAGTGGACAGGTACCTCTCCTTTCTTGCATTGAAGAGTACCCTTGAACTGCATGCCCTTCACTATTGGAGGAGCTGGCCAAGCAGCTGGATGACCTTGCCACAGGACCTGGTGCAGCAGATGTGAGCCAACTCAGCAGATTGGGACTCCTCTCTGGTGATACTGCAGTGATCATCATGGTATCACACATGCATGTTTTGTTGCTCTGAATGATTAATGCCATAATATTGTTGGCTTATGTTTTCCACAGTGAACTACTTTACAACCCTCCCTTCCAGTCTCAGTAATCAGTGGACAACATGCTGCTCTCACATCCAGTTCATGATCAACCTCACATCATATTAAGTGAAGTTGTGTCTCTCACCAATAAAATCACTTTTAACTTGACACATTCTGAGTTTTTATGAAATCTGTTTCAACTCAAGTCCCTCAATATCACTTATCAGTAGTGGTCTAGCAGGTAAATGTTCAGATCCAAATGTTCAAAACTGCCAAATCTCAGTGAGAGCAGTGGCATGTGCAGTGGGGTGGTGAGTGGAGGTGAGCAGCCTCACCCTCTAGTGAATGGAATGTTGTCTGCAAGCATGTTGAACTGGGCCTCAACATTTGGATTGACAGTTGTGAGAGCAGAAGCATCTTGTTTACTCCAATGGTGACCAGGGCCTGAATGCAAGCCCAGATTGAGTACTGATTGTACAGACATCTGGTTTTCCAAGATACACAATGATTAGAATCACAAACTTTTACAAACTAACACCCCATCTGCACTCCACCTCCACTACAGTTCAATCCAGACTCCCTTCTTCCACTGGAGAACTACATGCTCCCTGCTGAGGAACCCATGCCAACAAACTTGATCAATCCTTTGAGGCACACCTCTCCTGAGCTCACACCAGTTTGGCCTGCTGTTGGTGCTGTTGTGGCTCTTGCTGCACCCAACAACAACCTGTCTCACTCACACCAACCAAGTGTTCATGAAAAAGGGTCAGTGACCCTTTTTGCTTAGCACAAAAATCAACTATCTGTATGTTAATGGCCACCATTTGCTGTTTTTCATGAAGTTGGTGTACAAATCAAGGAAAGATTGGATATCATTTTCAGAAAATATACAGAAGGGATGTCATGCAGAAGATAAAGCCAGATTAACCAAGTGTTCAAAAAAGGGTCAATGCTGGCAGCATGTACAGATTGTCAGGGCTGTAACACCAGCATCTGCACACCCTCCAGAAACAGATTGGTGTCATCAGTACACTTCGGCCAGTTCAATGCCCCTAATCTGAGAAATGTGAACGGAAAATGTGTGGAAAATGCAAGAAAAGACCTTAAAAAATGCACATATTTCGGCGAAATTGCAATCCGACGCGTAAATGTGTACATAAAAAGGGATTCTGCCTTTGTCATTCCTTCTTCAATAACATCTGCACATGCACCACTGCACATGCAGGCCTCTGAAATTTATGTCGGTTGGCGGGCACAGGGCTGCGACAAGGGCGCAACAAGGCCTCCCTGGACGTGTATGCACCACAGGCCAACTTCCTGGCGCTCATGATGACCAGCGACAGGCAGGCCATTGGGTCCTACCACGGCATGGCCTACACCAGCTCCCTCGCCTGGAAGCTCAAAGATAAAATCGATCAGTACACGTGCATGTCGTGCGTGTCATGCGTGTTGTGTGTCATGTGGCACGTGTGCGTGTGTTGATGATTGTTGTGTGTTCAATTGCACCATCAGGTCGTTCATGCAATTGTTCTATGTGGCGCACATGGGGCCAAGCCCGGTGGCGCGGGCGCCCGAATGGGATGACAAACACGCCGCGTGGCAGCGCAGCCAGCGCCCATGCGCCGCCAAGAAAGCGAAAACGAATGCGAAAGCGAAAGCGACGGATGCAGCATCGGCCGATATGGTGCGCCACGTAGACGACGACAACGAAGGCGAGATCGAGGCAGCGCGCAGGCAAATCCAAGAGCGTGAGCGAATGCCAGAGGATGAGGTGGTAGGTGATGATGCTGGTGCGTGTGCGGTGGTGCATGTGCCATACCTCTGATCATTCGTATAATGTTCGTTGCCAGTACTGGTCCCTCCCGCACAGCATACACTCCTACGCACGACACACGACACAATACCGCACGACACGACACACGACACGACACGTGACTAACATTGATGTTGGAGATGGTGAGAGGAGGGAGGCGCACCGGCCTTGGGCACCCACTCGCAGCCGTCGATGGCGCAGCAGTCGCCCGCGGCGAAGACGTTGTCCTTGGTCACGGCCTGGAGGGTGGTTTGACCCGCACGAAGCCATGCTCGTCGGTCGCGAGGCCGCTCGCCCGGAAGAGGGGCGGCGCGCCCGGGCCGGTGGCCCACAGGAGCAGGTCGTAAGGCAGCGGGGCGACCTCTTCGCCGCCGCTGTCGAGGTGGACCAGGCGCGAATCAACCCGGACCGCACGCGCGTCGGCCAGCAGTCGGATGCGCTTCTCTTTGAGCTTGGCCCGCACCGCGCTCGACGTCCACGACCCACTAATTTGTTGATTTAACACATTCCCTGAGATCGTTGTGTGCGTGTGTCGTGTCGTGTGCGGTGCGTGCGGTGCGTTCGCTGTGTACGGTGTACCGTTCAGAGAGGACTTGTGGGCTGTTGGTGACGATGGTGATGTTGACCGACACGTCCGGACATTGCGCGTGCACGCGCGCCTAAGCAATTATATTTGAATAGTTGAGATAAAAGGTGTGTGTGTGGTGTGTGTGGTGTGTGTGGTGTGTGTGGTGTGGCGTGCCTTCATCGCGAAGGCCATCTCCACGCCAGCCGCGCCGCCACCAATCACAACAACGTCGGGCGAACGCCCCCACTCGTTCCAGCCTCGCCTGCCCAAAAGAACGGCGCGTCAGTCGTGAGCACACACCAATGCAGTGAGGAAGGAGTATGCTAGACTTGGGTGCGGCCGCACCTGCTCTCGAACTCCTCGAGTTGGGCCAGCAGGCGGGAAATTGGGCGTGTGCTCAGCGCGAACTCGCGCACGCCGGGAACCTCTTCTGTGCCCTGTCATGGGTGCACCACCGATCAGTTGCTGCCACGCACGACACACGACACACAGCACACAGCACAACACACGGCACACGACACACGGCACACGACACGTACCTTGGTGACTGATCCGATGTCAACGGCGAGCAGGTCGTACGGGATGGAGGGCACGTAGTCCTCATGGCTTCGCTCTTCCGCTTCGGCTTCGGCTTCAGCGTCCTCTGCGGTCGTTGGTGGTGGTGGTCGTGGTGGGTAGTCGGTGAGGTCGCCGCTTTGGTGATCGGCGACGCGCCGGCACACGACCAGGTTTCGGCAAAGTCGATACGCTCGGCCCATGCGTGGATGAACCGCGCGCCGCACCACTTGGCCAGCGGCTCCAGCCGGATCCTGCAGCTCTGCCACCACCTCGCCAGGAGATTAGATCAATCAACCGCACGCGCACGCACACACGGCACACGACACGCAGGGCA